TAAAGAAACTCAGGCAAGAGAGCTGGATTTCATTTGTCCACAGTCTCAGTTACTGAGTGGTGGGATCATGATTCAAAAGCTTCTGTGTCTTCTCTGGCTGGCAGAATCCAGCAAGTGTGCTCTTAATCACTGCTCTACAATGTCTCATCAACAGGACTTAAAGGACTGTGCCCACGTCTCATTTAGGTCTGTGACCTGAGGGAATTATTTAACTTCTCTGAATTTTACTCTCTTTATCTCTTCAATGGAAGCAATATCCCCCGGACTCACAGAGCTGTTGGGAGAATTACGTGGAATAATTTATGTAGAACATCAGTGTAACAACTGACCCAAAGAAAGTGTATGAAAATATTTTCCTCTACTTCCACTTCCTCATCTGTGTCAGGATAACTACCTTCCAAGCTGGCTGCAAGGGACACCAAGGGTCTAGGGATCCCCTGGGCAATAAATATAATTCGGTGAAGCTGCTTTCATCTGCTCGTCTGTGTGCTGTGTTATAGGCCTGGAATCCTTCTTGTCTACCCTATCAGCAAGTTGTAAATCATGATCTATTAATGAGTTATTAAATCAAATTAAATTGTGAATGTCATGGTTTTTTTTTTTTTAAATTAAAAAGAGTCCTGTAGAATGGGAAATAACAAAGTATGTGGTACATAGAAAGTATACATTTAATCAACAATTTCTTCACCTTTATATGTGTTCTATTTACCAGGTCATAATAAAGAGTGTATTTTGGATCAAGAGATTTTAAAGTCTCTCAGTCAACTCATTCAAGACATTCAAGAATCAATTCAGATATTCCTGCAGTAGGAAGCAATCAAGATTCTAGGATTTTCTGGAGCTAACTGAGACCCTTTTATATCACATTGAATATAATTGTCTTCCCTTAGTCAAAACTCCTTTGAGTTTTTTGTGGACAGAAAACATGATAGTTTCTGCTGAGTCTTCAGTGTCTATTATAAGTTTGGGGTACAGAACATACAATCACAAAAGATGCTTCATGAATGCATGAAGCAACCATAGAACTCATAGCACTGATTCTTAAGTCCAAATTCACAATAGAGGTGTTACTTCCTTGAACTCTCAAAATCACCGTGCTTTATTAACAAATGAGCCAAGTTTTTCTTTTACATTCTTTTCTATGGCCTTGACCTCCCATGGTGGACTTAACTGCTTTTCTTTCAGGCCCTCTGTATTCTCCCAGTGGCCTGGGTATTCTTCCTCTCCTTTATCAAAAGAAAGGCTTATTTTCTAGTCATTTGTGCTGCTTTGTGAATTTAATCCCTTCTAGCTCTGATCTTAGCAGCACTTAGATATAAAGATACATCCCTGTTAGTAACAGGAGAAGCTTGCTATTACCAGATTAAATAGAAGGGAGGGCACAGTTTAGAGGATGTGCTCATAAAATCACTCCACCTAGGCAGCTGCCTACTCATTCTGCTCTTAGGGAAACCCTCAAAATACAAACAAACCCATATTCCAGTAGCTCAGGTGACTAAATGCATGTGCATTTGAAGAACTGATAATGTACTTGTGGAACATTAAAAAAAAATTTTTTTTCGTGTTTTTATACTTTGTTTACTTGTTTCTTTTTTGTGGTGCTGGGGATGGAATCCAGGGCCTCACAAAGGCCAGAGAAGTGCTCTACCACTGAACTACATTCCTAGCCCCACTTTATTTACTTTTAAGATTCTACAACTACAGGTTTCAAAAGGTAAGAAATACAAAATACAAATAGCCTATTAAACCAAATCATTTTCATAGAACATGTACAAGTTTATAAGTGACAATTGATTTCATTTGTACAGTACTACCAAAGTACTTGAGTGCCTCACACAAAAGATTAAAAGAAGGAAAACAATTGCAGCTAATTGGAGAACAGAGAGGGCTGCCTTCAGGTCAAAGCACCACTTGACTTGGACAGTGCACGTTACTTTCCCTGACTTAAAGATTTCATGCAGACCACCTGGAGGATCACTTCTAGCAGGGGAATGAGGCCAGCTTCTACAAGCTCTTGAGAGAAGATGTATCCACTTCAACATGGCCGGAGCCAGGGCTAGGATTGTGGGGGAAGGGAGGGGAGAGAGAAAAAGGTGGGGGGGGGGGCAGAGAAAGAGGAGAGGAGATGAGAAAAAGGAGAAGGGTAGAGGAGATAACTGCAAGGAGAATAGTTTTGTGGCACAGGCAAATATTGCACTAAGTCACCTCAACTGCTTCTTGTAGAACAAAGAGGTTGTTTATTTTCTGATTTAGGTTTTGGCTTCATGTAAAAATATGAATAATAATACCAAAGAAAACCTATATGTTCTGTCTATCTTGTTTAAAAGCCCCAGAGAGGTTTGAATTTGAATTTCTCCTCTCAGTTACCCTATTCGTTAATCTAAGAGCCCAACAAGGTACTATAAAAGAAGACTGGGCATCACAGATAAAGTAAATTTGACAGCCAAAACCCTATAAGCTAAGACCTAGAGGTGGGATGATGAAGAAGAGTATGGGATTGGGAGTAGGAAGTTGGACTCTGCCACAAATAGCTTGGGATCCCAGGCAAATGTTTTCTCTTTTGGAGCCTCAGTTTCCTCTTGTGTAAATTTAGTGGTGGATTTGGTGATAGCTAAAGGTCTCTCCAGCCCTCATATTACATAAGGTGAAACAAAATGAGTATAATGCTACTCCAGAATGTCATTTTCAGATTAAAGAGATGCTCATCATCTTATATTTATATAGTTAGAAAAATTCTGCTGCTCATTTATTTTGAGAAAGCAAGTAGCTAACTTTCTAAAATAATCACACACCAACTGGCACTGAGCCAGTTGTTACAGATAGAGAAGCCTCTCTATGAAAAACCTACAGCCAAATGCTATTTAAAAAAAAAAAAAAGGCAAAGGTGAAAATCTGTTGAATCTTTTTTGACAAAAATTCTGTTAAGGCTTTACTCCATTTCATGTTCTTGCTTTTTTTGGGGGGGGCAGGGGGGGGTGTCTATTTTATCACAATGTGTAAGAACAAGGCCAGAGACTCTGATGAGGTCTTTCCTTCTGATCTTACTCTATCCATGACCCATATTTCTCCTAATTCTATGTTTTGCAATCATTCAAATGCTGAGGCTAGCCCTCTGGGTGCTAAGTAAGTATTCATAATTGAACATTTGGAAACCACATACCATATTTGTATATCATAGGGATTTTGTCTGGGGCACTTTGAATGTAGAGTCAAATATTTTTGAGACTCATTTAAGAGAGGCTCATCTTTCAGTACCATTTCCAACTATTTAAGTCTTCATCTCTTTTTCATGTTATACTTTTATTTATCATTTCTGAGAATACAGAGTTGATTCTAATTGATACTACTTTCAAATAAATGTTTTTGTTTTTTGTAAATCATAGCCCTTTGTTTAATTTTCCTAATTTTTCATAACTTGATAATTAAAGGCTATTGGCAACATATTTTCATCAAATATGTGCATTTTATGCATTCTATTTTTTAATCAGGTACCAACATTTGGTAATTTTTCTTCACAGTATTATTCTATGAAACCATTTCAATAGCATTAACTAACTTATCTCTGTCCAATTAACCCAACTGGCTTCTCCTGACTGGTTACCCAAAACTAAAACATTTCAAAATTTAAAAAATATTTTGCATCATGAAGACCAGCAATACAACACAAGTAAGAAAAACAGAAACAGGGGTTAACTTTGTCATATTTGTGATGTCACTACAAAACATGTTTTAGGGTGTTAACAGTTTCTTCCACAGATTACAATGAAGTGTATCAAAGGAACTTTCTGCATTTCAGAAACTTGGGCAAATCTGGATGGTTGAGAGTCTGTTTTAATACGTGGGCTTCGAGGTTTTGAAATGCCCTGGAATAAGAAAGTATTCTATGCTTGTCAGAGCAGCCAACAAATTAAGACCCTGGAGAACCTACCACCTTCCAGAATCCTGTTCTGTTCTTGCCCCTGCCATGCCTACCTAACACACAGGAAAGACCACTTTACAGCCAGGTAGAACCAAAAACAAATTCAATTTGAGTACATCATTTAGTATCTATACCACAGACTTCCTGAAGGGAAAAGAAAGTGAAATTTCAGGGGAGGAGGATGCAACATCAGATGGAAATGGATGGAATTCTGGGCCAGAGCAGGGTGTGGAGCATTCAAAGGGTGTGACCCTGATAGGAACATTCATTTTGACCACTAATTAGGCACCACTCTCCCCCAGAAGTATCCACATTTTTATAAAAGTTCCGTTTGCACTGATTTAGTCTAGAAGAGGCCAGTGCTAGGAGGAGGAACACGTTTTGGTTGAGTATCTACAGAGCTCACTCAAGAGGTAACTACAGGAACAAGAAATAGGAGGGTATTTTCAGTTCAATCATTTTTGTTTCTGGTAATGAGTTTTGACAGGCAAGGAACTTTTATGGTCTGAGAAATAATTGGTAATGAGATGCCACAGAAGAAAACCTTTCACTCAAGCTTATAGAAAAAAATCCCAGAACTCTTTAGAAGAATAATGCTGATTTCAAATCAATACATCAGTGTTAACACAGTCGACATTAAGGAAAATTAGGAAACGATAAGGCAAATTTTCTTCTCGGACTAATGGCCAGCAAATGTCCATGTATTTGGTCCATGTATTTCAGAAATGCGAATGTTTCTTATTATTTTTACTGAATAAATTTGAGGGATGTGTGTGGCGGTTCATGCCTGCAATCTCAGCACCCAGAGGTGCTGAGGCAGGAGGATGGAGAGTTGAAGGCTATCCTTGCCTACATGGTGAGGCTAGGTCTTAGACTTCATAAAAGCAGAGGGTTTTAAGTAACTTGACCTAGTTACATTTTAGACAATTCTTTGACATCGCTAGCATAAGGTCTTTCAGTAGCGTCCGGATGAGCGTGCACAAATGAAAACATGCTGCACTGCTGGGCGAGGTGGCCTTTGCCTCCCCATTCGCGATCCTACACCAAGCCGGATCGCAGTGCGGAGCGCCTCCTTTCCTACCTGACGTAGAGGGAGCGCTTCTGATTGGTCCGCAGGGATCCAGACCCGGAGCTCATGCTGTGATTCATCATCTGCTCTCGCAGGTCATGGATTTTGGCCTCAAATCGAGCGTAATCTGGGAATGAAACAAAAATGGCAAGTTTGGTCCTGTGCCTTCAGAGAGTTAGAAATCCTGCACAGCCGAGGCAGCCACTTGCACATCGTGTGGGTTCCTTTGCCAAGCACTTGACAAGAGTACTTTCTCCCGCTTACTATTATTTTCTGTTCATGAGAGGAAAAGATAAAATCAATACCCCCCCTCCACCCCGCCTCGAGCCTCGAGGTACTTAGAAATACAGTGCCATCAAATCGCCAACTTGTGAAAAGTCCAGGACGGTGGGGCAGGGGCGGCGAGGAGAGGATGGGGGACTGTTCTGAGGAAGAGGGGTGGGAGTGTCATAAACAGGCAACACACAGTACCCTCCTGTGATGGAGATGAGCTCCCTTGCCAGTGGTTAGGACACAGGTACCTATTATCACACGAACCTGTGATAATTACGAATACGCACAAAAATGAGAAAATCTGAGTGGAGATCAAAGGCTCCCGAAATTCCTAATACTATGGGGTATTGAAAAGAATATTCAATTGCTCAGACCGATAGACCAGATAATCTGGTGTTTGGTGATGAATTCTGTAAGAATCATCACTTAATTTAGGTGCCCCCTCCCAGGCAGCTAAAAGTTAACCACTAAGGATACCTTGATTTGCCCCATAACCTTGTCTACATACTAAACTCCCTCAATTCTAACTTACACAATGCATTTAGGCCAACTTTTTTTACATTGTCATGTAAAATATATTTTAGAATCATTCCAACTTTAAAAAAAAGTATATGGTTCTTTTGAAAAAATCAAGGAAATATAGTTAGTGTATTATGCTATTCATAGGAAACTTATTCTTTCCATGCCAGTCTAATAAAAATAAAGAGCTAATAGGTTTTAAGATACTTATTAACACAAACAGCATGTAAAATGAAATCACTTTTGAAGTTTCAATATTCTGGATCACAACCTAGACATTTTCCTATCATCTTTGGCAAAAAAAAAAAAAAATGTATTGCTTCAGGAAAATCCAGTAGGTGAAAGCTTAATTTACCCACACATAAATTTGAAAATGTTAATTGAAATAACAAATGATTCTTTTAATTACAAAGAAACTCACCAGGAGGAATTTTAATAGTGGTTCTTAGTACATTTCAAAAAGTAAGTTGATTTTTAATTCAATTTAATCACAATTTACCATGAAAACAAGGATGGCTAAATGAATATAAAGAAAGTGTTTCAAATTCTTCATAATATAAAGTTTCATATTAGGTTTAATTTCAATTTATAGAATATTTATTATTTATTATAGGATGGGCTTTCCTGAAAGATTTGACAACAATTTTAAACAACAGACAACAGAATAATAAGCTCTGAATGTTAAATATATTTAAAGCTTACTACTCTTACAGGTAAAGCCATAATAGTTGTCTGGGAATTTCCAGTGCTTAAGGAAGGTCTGTCATTATGCACATTTGGAAGGCTTCCTACTGAAACTTGGCTTTGAATAATTAAATCCTAAATGATTAAATAAGCAGAACACATATGTAACCTAAAATCTATTGACCATAATTTAAGACAGTTTATTTCATTCTATCTTATTAGTGAGAGAAAACACTTTTTATAACCATCCAGATGACACTGCATGCAGATTTCAGTCATTTTGAGCAAGTTGTATTTCCTTGCTACTCAGATGAACCAATTAGCATTCATTGCTGGCCACGTGGCAGAAACTATGAAGTATTACCTCATTTCTTTTTTAAAATTACAACATGAAGTCCATGGATGTTGTGAAAGTTTGAGTGATATATTTTTTAAAACAGTATAAAATGATTGTTCCTCTGGCGTCTTCTGCCTTCCCTTGCCTTCTCTCTTACTGCTGACCTTCCCCACAGCTCACCCTAGGGGGCCTGAGGGGTGTATGTTTGATATATAGGTTGGTGAGTATGTGTGTGTAGGATGTGAGCATAAATACATACATACATGAGACCCTATCTATATATTGTATTAAGATTTTTTCCCTTCCTTTTAACAGTATAACTTGGATTTTTCCTACCTTCTAATAACTATATAGATATCATTTTTCTTAATATCATTAATTATATTCCATATTTTGACTGATTTATTTAACATTCCCATACGAGATATTAGGTCTGTCAAGGTTTTTGCATATGAGTAGGGATGTCAGGGTATGTGTGCAGGTATGGTAGGCTATTAAAACGCCACAATTGGAATGGAAATCATACAAGTCCCCCTTAGCATTTCTCAGAGAAGGGACACACAGCAGTAACTTTTGGCTTCCTCTGATCCCTGCTCCATATTGCTACTCACCAAATACCACATACCACCCCTGGGTGCCCCTGAATCTCCCCCTGGAGATATGGACTCTGTCCTTTACAACTTTGATGACTTCAGTATCTGTGATTAAAAACATGAAATTCCACCCTTCAACTATCCCCCTCCCCCCAAGCATCTAATTCAGGGCCAGTCCCCAACCCCAGTTTGCTACATATATTGCATTTCTCACACTAGTGTGCAGTTATTCATGTAGTTTACAGTCTTCCCTTTAGACTGAGCACTCTTGGGGCAAATGTCACATCTTGCTTTCCTTGCAATTCCCTGTTCCTAACATAGTGTCTGACATAGAAGAGGTACATTTAACCATAGGTGCTCAATCAGCATTTTCTAGGTGAATGAATAATGAGTGAGAGAGTGAGTAGTTATTAAACTCAGTTATAATAATGGTTGCAGGTACTGAAGTTGACCATTTTCACTGTTATGTTTTGCAACATAAGAAGAGAACACGCATCTCCTCTAGCACTGCCTTTTCTAAGAGTATTCCAATTTCAAGGCTTTAATTCTATCAAATCACTGACACTTCCAAATCCCTTTGTTGCTTTTATGGATCTGTAGGCAATTCTGTTCTCTCCTGTCTCAGTCATGCCATGCATTGGAAACAGTTCCCTGACACTTAACCTACATACAATCAGCCCTTTGTTAGGCTCTCATAGACTCTCTGCTAGGCATTTATTATTAAAGCAAGTATTACAACAGGATACCTGCCTGAATAATGTGTTATATTTCCTTCTATATGGCTCATTTGACACTCCAGCTGTGTTCTCCCATGCTTTTGGAACATTTGGTCTGCATAATACTGTACAGTGTTTAAATTCCTCACCATACATGATTTAATATTGTGCCTTATCTGGAATCCATCCTATTCTTCACTTCTCCATTTTGACAATCATCTTACTTGCAGACTATGTTCAAAGGTGCTTATTCCTTTGCTACTTTGCGATAACTAAAACTGAGGTACAAATAATTCTGTCAAAGCAAAACCAATAAGACACATGTTTACAGATATAAAGGGTGTGGGATGGGGAGGGATAAACAAGTTTATAGTTAGAAATGCTCTGGAAATAAACAGGAAATCAGCTACAGAAAATGTGAAATATAAATCTTTATGCTTTATAAAAGAACTAAAAATCAGATTTATCAACAACTTAAAACCCACCAAACCTATTTAACATGCATCTCTGTTCTGTTCCTTAAATGTTTTACTCCTATTTATGTTCTCCCCTTTGGAACATTTTTTTTCAATCAAATTTCTAAACACTCTTTCTTGATTCCAAACCTCATCAGAACTTTCACATGGAATTTTAAGATATTCTAATCATTTAAGGGGAATTGATGTGTACTGAACAATGGGCACTTTCTCTTAAGAACATTCCAAAGTAGGTATATTCTTTCAGAGGTAAGGAAACGGAGGTTCAGAGAGGCTAGCTATCTTCACCAAAGTCAAGAGCCCGTTGGACATAGAGCTAGGATTCAGACACTTTGTTTCTGTTTCATTGTAATGCCTATTTTGACACCACAATTCTCTCAGAACATAAGTCTTGAGTCTTCACTCCTCCCTCTTGACATCTTGCTCTTTCCTTTAATGACTGTATTTGTCATGTATATGTTGGTGTTTTCTATGGAACTCTAAGCTTCTCAGAGAGTTGGGGTGCCTCACCTATCCATAGTCCCCAAGCCTTGTGTCTATCATTCTACCTTTAGTCCACATAGGGCTGTACTGGGCACTTTGGATGTAGTTTTGAATAAGAAGAATCTGTGACACTACAAGGAGGTTTAACATGATAACAAAGGAGGTGGAGAACAACATTGACAAAACAATACCTTATTCTGTCTTGATTTGCAGAAAACACATGCTTTGTAATTTTTTTTTCTTTCTTTCTTTTTTTTTTTTTTTGCTGTACTGGGGCTTGAACTCAGGGCCTACACCTTGAGCCACTCCACCAGCCCTTTTTTGTGATCGATGTTTTTCGAGATAGGCTATCACTGAACTATTTGCCCTGGGCTGACGCTGAAACTCAATCCTCTTGATCTTTGCCTCCTGAGTAGCTAGGATTACAGGCGTGAGCCACTGGCACCTGGCTGGTAAATGCTTTTTAAATGACAAATTATTTTGTGTTTATTGGGGTTTTGTCTGCAACAAGAAGCATATCACTGAAAACCAACTCCTAGGCAAAGCTTTTGGAAGGATTCCAACTAATTATTTTTTCTTCCTTTATGTATGACAAGCCAGATTTCTTTCCATTTTTTGACATTCTTAGATATCTAAATCTGGTTGCTCCTAATTAGATGCATTCATTTGGGATTTTAAGGTTTCTTTCACTTGGACATGATGGCTGATAATGGTAGAACGCATGTGAGGTTGGGTTATATAGATGGGATCAAAATCCTGGCCCTGTTACTTACTAGTTTACATCATTGTGAAAGTTATTAACCTTTCTGGGTTCAATTTTTCTCACAAGTAAAATGGGAATAATAACTGTATCTATCTCAAAATATGCTAGGAAAATTGTGAGCATTCATAGATCTGAAAGATTAGCTCTTGGCAATGACTGTCAATTCCTATTATTTTCATGAATAATTCAAAATCTATTTTGTTATCACTTGTAAACATCATAATCCCTTTCATTTCCAAGCAAAATGGAAACTTGTGCCCATTCCTAGAGTCCTTTGGTATAA